TGTATGTTGAGAAATTGACAAGCACTCTTCCAATATTTCTTTATGTATGTTTATAATGCAATGTTATTCTTGTCAACTTGAAGAATGGTGCAGCTTTAACTACAATATATTGATACAATCTCAACTTCCCGATTTATTTTCAGTCACAAATAACAGCACTCATTGAATCAGTATCCATGCACAAAGGTAGATAACAGTACTTTCAAAGCAGTCTTTTAAAAAACAATAATGAATGAAGACAACCACAAAATCTCAAATGTGGGATGCATAAAACAATAGAAATGCTTTCATATATATATATATATATATATATATATATATATATATATATATATATATATATATATATATATATATATATATATATATATATGCAAAGATGTCTGTATTCAGTATAACAATTACTTACTTTTCCAAGTATATGAGTTATATGGGAAGATACATTATAGTAAACTTGTTTATATTTACTGCTTATATGAAGGAAACCATTAGACTTTCCTTCTGAAAACAGTTCCAATGACCTTAATGTTATTGTTAGTAGCATAACCATTGCCATTACTATAGTTATCATTTTTCATGTTTTATCATGTACTTTATTACTATTAATATCACTTATTAATATCAGTATTATTATTATCACTGTCAACACCATATCATCATTATTATTATTATTAAGATTCATAATATCAGAAGCAGTCTTTTAATATACAGTCATAACACGATATTTTGGAGACTCAAGGAGAGATACTGATTTTGCTTCCTAATATAACTGACAAATATTAAGAATATGTTTATAATGAGAGCTTAGATCATTTAGATAAGCTCAAAGTTATATAATTGCACACTTCAGATTGCAGAAGTGAAAGATATTTATTTAGAAAAGAAGGAAAACTTTCTGATAAATGTTATACACATTAGAACACCCATCTGTAAATACACAGAGGAAACACATTTTGTCATTACATCTTAATACAAGACTGTTAGTACTAGGTAATTCAGATACCACAAGACTTTCCCTACACAGCCTCGTCTACAGTAATCACCATTATAATGAAACAGGCAGTATACACTCTCAGGTCAAATGGAACCCTTTTGTAAGTCCTTGAGATGTGGATAAGATTTTTTTTCATTTGAATAAACCGATTATATTGTAAAACACACACTATTCCACATCACACCACTCTTTTTTTTTCAATATACATAGGTATGAGGCAGTTTATTTTTTACTTCTGTTCATCTCGAAAACTTTTGCAGGTACCTATCTACTGCAAGTATTTTTTGTCCATAGCTAAGCTTATTAATCACAGTGCAGTTGGATACCACGAAAATGAAAGATACATTACTCAAAGGTTATTCATTCCAGTATCTAAGGATTATGACCCATGTAATCTTTTCAATTAACTATTAAAATACATTTGAAATAATAAGCTTGCCATCATAATATTCAACTTTCATCATCCATCCAATTAGCTTACAAGTAGGGTAAACAAAACACCAGGAAATATAATTTAATGTTACTAATGAACACGCAAATCCACATCGCATTATTCGCATTTGGCACATAGAAAATCGTATAATCGATCAGTCACACACTGGCTGAGGTTTTCCTATACACAAATCGTTATATCAAGTTATGTCCATCGAGGATTATAGCATATCAGGCTATATTGCCGTATTTTTAAAAATCTTGCAAACATATTATCTCAGGTTTTACGCGAAGACTGAATACTGCTGTGGTAACATTTCATAAAAAATAATATTACTTTATTTCCCTTGCAAGGCCTTTGACATATGTTCACACATAGGGAACTTTAGTTTTAATATGACTGATTACCTTTGCATATCGTAAAGTATATATATTTTGAGTACTATTCTTAATCTAAATAATCGAATTAACTAGAACGATGCAATAACCGAAAAAATACATTTTTCATCACGGTCATTCAGTACTTGCTTATGTAATTTTGCTTCATGTACTAAATTATCTAAAATTACGATTTTAAACCATTGCCAAAGGAGACCGAAAACTTTTGCAAGAACATTTTGAAAATATATGCCAGACATAATCAAGGCTCTATGTCGTGAATTTAATTAAACGCGAAGCGAACGATTCAACACCAGCGGCGCTCCAACTTTCCGTCCACAATTACCGTAGGGATTTCAATAAATTCCGGGAAATATAGTTGTGCGAATTGTTTACGTCCATTTCCCACCTTTATGTCAAATAGTCAAAGCTATAAATTTCAGTATTTTTTTTTTTTTCAACTTCACAATTTCTCCCTCAAGTACGGTTTAGTGCATGCATTTTTTTTCTAAGTGTATTCATAACTGGTAAATCATCACTCGAAGTCAGAAAATGTAGATATCATGCTAAACAGGGAAGCATCTTTAAATATACAATAACCTAATATATAACAATTTACTGCATTACCTAATAAAATAATTTAAACAAGAGTAACAACTTTTGCAAAGAACTGCTCTCTCGAAAAAGACAGATAGTGAATGAAAGAAAAAATACAAACTCTTGAAAATATCAACATGATGAGTTATGATGGATCCCAGTCAACACACTGTACTGTCACGTTTTCGTTGTTATTGATTGCATTTCTGTCTACTGCTGTCATCCACTTGGTGTTTGCAGGCAGCTGGTCCACACACGGCCCTCCTTTGTCACTGACTGCGAACAAATCATTCCCCATTCCTGTTGATGAACGAAAACTTGATTATACATATATATATATATATATATATATATATATATATAGATAGATAGATAGATAGATAGATAGATAGATAGATAGATAGATAGATACAAAGATACATACATATTTAGATATAGATACATATATATATTAGTTTAAAATGTAAAACACTCCATATCAGGGAATTACACGACTCAATACATACTTTTAATTCTAAACAGAAACGCCAGTAATAATTACAAACAAAGGGCAAAGCACTGGCCTAAAGCACCAAATCTATTTAAAATAAAAGTACTCTTTTTGAGCCACAAGCTGTTTTTTTATTTTAAAAAATAAAATAAATAAACACCCAATGATATTTCTTCATTCGTTGTCAATGATGTATGTGATGTGTTCAAAAGATTCGAAAGCTTAAAACACACTTTCCCCTAATCGACTATAACTACAAGTAATCGACTGCTAAACGATTAGTTGGGGCATATACTGCAGATAAGATCTCATGTGCACCTGCGGATTTCTACGGATTATAGTTAATACATATTAAAATTAGTTGACAATAACGTGTGTGTCTAGAAGGAAAGTAAAGAGTCAGACCATCGGATACTGAAGAAGACAATTCGAATACAGGCTTGTGCTTGGGCAACAGAAGCCGGGAACTTCAGGAACAGGTACATGCTTGTCTACTATGCAAAGCTACTGGAATTTTCGAAGAGAGAATTCAGATATAAGCTTCAATTTTTTCTCCTTTTTTTGCGGTGAATATTACTTAAATTTTCAGCGACGAATATGTTTTCCCTCAATGTGTATTTAGCATGGTCGGTTGCGGTCCTTCTGCCCATGGCCGTAATGAATGCTATTGATTTACTGTAAAAAACGTCAATGCCTCAGTGTGATTTAGCCTGCATTGAGAAATATTCACTAGTGCTTTAAGAAGTAATGTCCTAACTGCAATCAGTCGATGGCCATGCAGTGACAGCGTGTGTTATTAAGCATATGCGAGTACCCATGTCTAAACGTCATAGCCATTCTGTCTTTCAAAGCTATTTATTCGAAGCCGCTTCTTTATTCAGAGCTGTGAAATATAATTGCTGAAACAATTATCTTAGTTAGTCATCAGTCGTCTTCAGAAAGAACACACCACAAATGAAAAAAATATATATACAGCTCAGTGCTACAAGTATTGCATGGCCAACGCCGCTGAAATGCAGAAACCGAGTTTGTACACTGAACTGCACGATGCCATTCATTGTGTATAGGGGCCTAATATATAATTCCTTTTGATAAGATAAAATAATAACATAATAATTTAAACATCGTTAAAGCACCTATGCAATATCTAATATATTATAAAAGTAATCGAATAACTGATTACATAAAAAGTCGAAATAATTACATAAAAATCACCAATAACTAAAAAGATATATAACGTTGCATTAAGATATATGTCTTAATTGGTAACAAAATCTGCTTCTTTAAAAATTGAACTTGGCAATATTTGAGTACTATGGAAAAGCATGAGATGAGGGAAAAACTAGTTTGTAACGGAAATACGGTGTGCAAGATGCATTTTCTGGGGTTTGCAGAATCGAGAGCCGTATACACAAACCTAAATAGCATAGATACCGGAAGTAAAAGTAATCATATGTCTTTTCAATCGGCGCAATCGAAACCTATCTATCGGGACATCACCTATTTTTTTCTGATTCCTTCGCATAAAAGTGCTCATAAAAGTAACATCCAACTCTGACTTGTTTAGACGGATATGACATACATCCTGACTAACAATAGCCTTATCTAGCCTTGTCTAGACTATGTTTTGAGATTATATTTCTAAGGCCCTGGTATTGATGAAGAGACACTCCATTCAAAATATTAGAATGGGCAATGCAAAAAGTTGCATTGAAAATCTTGTGTGTGTGTTTACTAACGAACTCTACGTGTTTTATCTTCGTAATGGCTCTAAGAAATTGACTTGTGGCTGTTGTGCCAAAGAGATATCTAATATTCTAGAACAGTTAATAACACTTCTACCACTGACTGATCTAATTATAAATTTCATCAGCTTTCTTTTCATCTTCAAAGAAATAAAGTTGTAAAGAGGCCTAGCACTGCACAGCCAAATCTGCTACAGATAGTCCTTCACTAAGTCAGCTGACGGCAAAGAAATAAGTCTTGCACTATAAGGGCACGGCAAATTTTGTGATGCTATTATAGTCGTACCGAGAAAATGACCTTTGAGAGATGGAAAAGACAGGTATGTGAGGCTGATGAATAGATATCTAGAGGCCATACTAATCTAAAGCGCAGGTATGCACACGAGTAGTTGTTATCTGGATGGAGCACTAATCATCAGTCTGGTCATGTAATTAGGCTTTTCAACTGCGAGTCATTGGTCTTCAAAAGAGCATGAATACTAGAGAGACCTTACTAGTCGGAGTTTGGTGGATCATTCAGTATTTTCCAGGATATGCATTAGCACCTACCAAGAAATTAGTTACGCAAGTCTACGTATGTAACAAGTAAATCACCACTTAAAAAAAAAGACATTTTTGTTTGCTGCTTACACTGCAAGATTCGACAATTTATCAGCGTAGCTAAAACGGAAAGCGAGTCTCTTCCTTCCTAGCACATCGTGTATAAGCATTTATTTTAATCACGTTTCCACAGACAATAAACAAAGAACAAAGAACATATAACAAAGCCTCACCTATCCACCAGAGGTGAGCTGCTTCAGTACGAGCAATTCTGTATTCCGCGTTGCCCATGTAAGCGTAAACATCAGGCTGGCACTTCACGGTTTCTTCCTCATCGATCTCGCTATCCTGACCGTCGATATGCTGATTATTAAAACTTTGCAACATTGTCAAATTGAAATTCCTTCTGGTGCGCCCAGTGTCTGATAAGTTAGGCGGCGGCTTCGGTTTAACCTTGGCGGAAACTGGGTGTGTTCCCGATGCGCACGACTTGGTCGGTTTTTCGGTCGTTGAGGAGAATGTTTCAGGTGGAGACGATAAACACTCTAAGAGTTTATTCAGCATGTCCAGTGTTTCCTGGAGGATATTGTTAGGTGCAGGTTTCTTGGGTAACTTGCTGCTCAGAAGCGGGAAACTGTCTCTTTGCCGGACTTGTGACTGGGCAAAAAGCAGGCGAGTTAGTGGGTCGTCTTCCTGATCGTTTGGGGCGGCGGTTTTGCGTTCGTTTTGGCGAGCATCTCGCTGGTCCTCTTGTCGACTCCCTTGGAAGCTACTTAGCATATGGTAGTGTCGGTTATTTGGCAGATCTGTTTGTCGGTCATTTAACATCTCAATTTGACTGCCATGTAAGGTATCAGCTTGCTGGCTATTTAACATGTCTACTTGTCGGACGTTTGGCAGATCTACATGGCTATGTAGCAGGTCAATTGGCTGCCCACTTAACATATCATCTTGCCGACCATTTAACATATCAGCTGGCCGACCATTTAACATATCAGCTGGCCGACCATTTAACATATCAGCTGGCCGACCATTTAACATGTCAGCTTGCCGACCATTTAACATATAAACCTGGCCATTTAACACATCAGATTGCCGGTCATTTAGCATATTAACTTGTCGGTTAGTTACCTGAATATCTTGCCAGCTATTTCTTGGTTCACCTTTCTGGCCACTGTTTAGTTGATCATCATGCTGGTCGTTTAGTAGAATATCAAACATGTCATGATCACCATCTGGCTCATCTAATGAATTGTCTACTTGGTCAATTTTGCGTTCGTCTTGCCAGCCCTTTTCCCGGCCATTTTGTAGGCCATCGCGCTCGAGGTTGAACTGACCGCCCAGCAACCTCTGCAAATAGTCCATGTTCGCCTGGTGGTTCCTGCCTCTCTCTCCGGGCACCGAGAACCGCTTCACACGCGAGAGGGACTTCCTGGTCGTGGTGGAGGGCGACTGGATCCTCAACTTGGGGAGATTCTTATTCTTGTCTTTTCCGTTCATCTGCTTGAAGAGTGACACGAGGGCATCTTCGCCGTTCATGACCGTCGGGGGGAGCTGGCGAGGCGATGGCGTTATCAAGCTGAAGCCCTTCGTCAGGCTCATGGCCTTCGCCAGTGCCTCCTGCTCGAGTCTGGTAGTCTCCTCTTCCTTGAGTTGCTCTACGACGTCGGTCCTCCCGTAGTAGCCACGGAAGCATCCCTCACCCCTCACCTTCACCTTGCGACACGTGCAGGGGCCTGGGGGGAAGGGGGGGAGAGGACTAATGAGGAGGACCGTCAGATAATTAAAATCATGAGTAAACAATGATAACAGTGAGTGTAATGATATTGACCTCTATTGCAGCAGTGATTAGTGTTTACTGAATATGTAATGATGATTCAAAATGTTAAAGAAATAAAAACTAAATGCAGAAATTGGCAACCATAACTTTCGTACTGAATCTTGTATTGAGGCTTTTAGCATTTTTAGAACTAGCAACAGGCCAGAAGAATCACCGAATTAAACCAATTTTCAGTTAAATGTAACGATGTTTAGTGATTGAAGTGAAACGCATGAGAAACATCTGCTACGTAAACATATGATTATCTATAATGCATTATATATATATACGCGTATTATGCACTTAGTTGGCTAGGCAGGAGTGTACCTCTAGTTTAAGACATTAATTCTTCATCTTATAGAATATGTATACAACTTATATTGGCACCATTTTAACTCCGTACGGTACATGGTAAAAAGATTTCGTGCTATAATGGTCAGCAAGTTTAAAGTTTTTAATGCACAGGTTGGTTATAGGCGAAGTCTCGGCACATCTATGAATCGTG